TGAAACCCCATCTCTACTGAAAATACAATAATTAGCTGGGTGTGGTGGAGCAAGCCCGTAATCTTAGCTACTCAGGAGGCTGAGGCAGGAGAATCGCTTAAACCTGGGAAGTGGAGGTTGCAGTGAGCCAAGATCGCGCCATTGCACTCCAGCCCAGGCGACAGAGCAAGACTCTGTCTCAAAAATAATGATAGTAATAAGCAGGAACAACAGCAGCAAAAAAATATCACGGGATAGAACGCTCTTACCTGCCCACTGTCCCATTGACCGCAAGAAAGGCTTTGGCAAAACTTTCCAGTAATTCAGTAAAATACATCTGGAGAATCTCATACACTTCACCAGGCAGGCCAGGCACACCAGCAGCCCTGTGAGGATGAAGAACTGTTCCAGAACGTCCCCCATGGCTGCACTGAACAGACTGTTTCGGCCCTGGCCGTGGCCCTCTGTGCGTGTCTCCTGGGACCGCGCTGCTCTGGAGACCTCCAGATCCTCTTCCCAGAGTCACTGGGTGTGTTCCATCAAGTCAGGGGCATCTAGATTAAAGTAACTTCTGTACAGAATCCTCTGATTCACAGGCCTTTGAATGAGGCTTTTGTTACTGTGGAGGAGCTGGTGAAAAAGTAACAGGTGGAGATGAAGGGAAAAAAACAAAGCCTGGACAGACATAAAATGGCAGCCCATGGTTCCCTCACTGAATTTGGAAACTTAAAAAGGATGCGGAATCCGAGGCATATTCATTCATGTATTTCGCACTGTGTATTGGCTGCCTACCAGGTGATCCCCTCTTGAAGGCATTAGGAAGGTAATAGTGACCACACAGGGTCTCTGTGGTTGGGAGCTTAGATTCTGGTAGCAGGGACAGATGATGAACAGATAAATAAGATAATCAGGCTGGGCAGTGGCTCACGCCCGTAATCCCAACATTTTGGGAAGCCGAGGCAGGTGGGTCACATGAGGTCAAGAGTTTGAGACCAGCCTGGCCGACATGGTGAAACCTCATCTCTACTTAAAATACAAAATTAGCCAGGCCTGGTGGTGTGCACCTGTAATCCCAGCTACTTGGGAGGCTAAGGCAGGAGAATCACTTGAACGTGGGAAGCGGAGGTTGCAGTGAGCCAAGATCGCGCCATTGCACTCCAGCCCGGGGGAAAGAGAAAAAACCTACCTCAAAAAAAAAAAAAAAAAAAAAGATGTATGTGCTATGAAAAAGCACTATTGAACCACGTGTTTGAGTAGCTACTCAGGGAATGCTTCAGAGAGGGTGTTCAGGAAGGAATTCTGTGAAAAGGTGGCATTTTTAGTTGAAATTTGAATGAAAGGAACCAGCTCTGCAAAGGTGAGTTTCCCCCTCCAGGCTAATGGAACAGCTAGTACAATGCCGGAAGTGAGAAAAATCTGTGTATTTGAGGAATAAGAACTAGGACAGGCCGGGCGTGGTTGCTCAGGCCTGTAATCCCAGCACTTTGGGAGGCTGAGGCGGACAGATCACGAGGTCAGAAGATCGAGACCATCCTGGCCCATATGGTGAAACCCCATCTCTACTGAAAATACAATAATTAGCTGGGTGTGGTGGAGCAAGCCCGTAATCTTAGCTACTCAGGAGGCTGAGGCAGGAGAATCACTTGAACCCGGGAGGTGGAGCTTGCAGCGAGCCGAGATCACGCCGGAGGGACTGGCCACAGAGAGCGAGGGAGGAAAAGGCCAGAGCAGGAGGGAGCAGCCACGCCCTACAGGTGAGTGTGGACTATCAGAGCAACCAGAAGCCGTTGCACAGATTTAGGAAAGAGAGTCTATACTCTGAATTATGCTTTTAAAAGGCCATAATTTTAAAAGCTGAGGGAAAATGTCCTTGTGGGAGTGGGATGGAGCGTGGGTGTGACAGCTGAAGCAAGGGCAGCCGGGACGCTGAAGTCATCCAGCAGAGGCCACAGAATCAGTCCTTGGCCTTCTCATTTCTGCCTGTGCTCACTCTCAGCTCACTCTGTGCTGCAATCAACAGCCTTGCGCTCACCCTAGAAGCAGAATTTCTGGCCAGAACATAGATTCATACGTCTTTATGCTAGATATTGTCAGATTTGCCTTCATTTTGCGTTCACGCCAACAACACGTGAGCACGTTCGTTTTCCTGCTGCCTTAGCAGTAGAGCATGTTGTCATGCTTTGGGACTTTTGCCACCCAGTAGGTAAGAAGTAGCATCTAATGTTGTTTTAAGTTTAAATTATCTTATTAGCCAGGTTGGAGAGATTTTCATAAGCCTAGGGGCTATTTTCACTGTTTTCTTTGTGAATTTTCTCTCTCCTGCCCGTTTTTCTATGTGGTTTTTGGTCTTTCCCTTCTCTGTATTTAGAGATGGTTTCAGAACTCTGATTAGATGGAAATCCGACCTGCTCACTCTGTCCTTCATGTTCATCGATTATCTCTTCAGGTGTGTCTGATCATTGTTAAATCAGCCCATTGTGGTTTTTATTTTAATGGCCTTAACTTCATTTCTAAAAGTTCCTTTTGTGCAAAACTGAGGCTTTTCTTCTCATAGTTTTCTGTTCCATGCAGATATTTTTAATTTTGACTTTCCTTACCTCAGCGTGATTGTCTTGTGATCTGGCTTTAACAATTCCAGTACCTACATCAGCCTTTCTGTTGCTGTCTCCTCTCCCTGGTAGGTCTCACTCATGGTGCCCTGTTTCCTTGTGTGCTTGATGATTTTCACCTGTGCACATCCCATTGTGCTTGGAAATTTCTCTGAGGTTTTCTGATGAAGCTGTATTCCTCCACAGAGGAGGTGATTTTGCTTCTACCAGACACCTAGAGGAACTTCCAATTTGGAAAATTAAATTCATGGCTAAATTCATAGTTTTCTAAACTATGCAGGTGAAGTGAATTTGGTCTGCCATGACAACCCACCCTGGCCTGTGTTGATTAACCCATAGGACGGTTCTCTGGCCATCTCCACCCACCACCGCCTCCTCTGCTCAGTGCCAAGGCGCATTTCCTTGCAGTCCGGGAGTGTGTTTCTTCTGGACCACGCTTACCCTGATGGATGTAGAAACCTTTTGGGACCCCAGCATTATGGAATGTTCATCTAATAGATGACCTTCATTTCTGTCCCATACCATCAGCACCGAAGCTCCCCATCACTCCATCCAGCAAATGCAGGGCTAATGTGGCTTCAGTGCTTAATTTACCTCTCTGTGTTGCTGCTTTCTCTTATACTGAAATTTTTGACTATCTTAATAGGTTTTTGCTTTTAATAAGCTCTTTGAGAATATCTCTTCTTCTACCCACAAAAACACGGGTGAATCACATTTTGTCGAGCAAAAGAAGTCACAGAAAAGTACTGCATTAGTTATCTAGTCTATATAACAAATTAACCCAAAACTTAGTCGCCTAAACAATGCCATTTATTATCTCATGATTTCTGTGGGTCAGGAATCCAGGCATGGATCAGCCGGGTCCTCTGGCTCAAGGTCTTTCCCAGGTGGCAATAAAGTCCAGCCAGGTGGCCATCATCTCCAGGCTCACCTGGGGAGACAGCAGCCCAGTCACTTGTTTGATGCAGGATTCGGTTGCTCCTCCTTGGTTCCTTGCTGTGTGGGCCTCCTCACAGGGCAGCTCCCAAGGGCAGCTTGCTTCATCAGATCTAGCCAGTGGGAAGAATCAGAGAGACAGAGAGAGAAGGCAGAAGCCACACTCTTGTCATCTGATCTCGGAAGGGCCATTCCATCACCTTAGCTGTATTCTGTGCATTAGAAGCAAGTTCCTCGATCCACGCCATATTCAAAGGGAAAATATCACACAAGGGAGTGAACGTAGGGGGCAGGGGGATCATTGAGATCCATTCTAGAAACTGCCTTCTACATGTATAGGATGTTATTTATAGGAAGTTAAAGAACAGGCAAACACAATCTTCAGTAAAATAAAATCAGAACACTGGTTGCCTGGCAGAGGTGAAGGGATTGGCTGGTAGAGTCATAGGGAACTTTTCTGATTGATTAAGATGTTTTATATTTTGATAAGCAATGTGTTCGGAAGGGCCTGCCTTAATCAAGACTCACTGTACTGTACACTCTTAAGCTCTGTGCAATTTACTGCATGTAAATTATCTTGAAACTTCAAACAAATTTTGTCCTGCAGTTATTCTTTGGATGGTGGATAATTTAGACTTCCATTACCAGAATTGTAAGCAGCAATTCATCCGTGTGCTTGGTCACAGACCAAGATTTCCCCACTTTTACTTTTCAGCATCAAAAACTGTATCAAACCCCATGTAATAGATTGAGAAATTATATACCAATATCTGACTGAATTCAGCAAAGCTTTTAAGTAAATGTGTATTTTTCTATTTACAAGATGCTGTGACTTGTGTCCCTCAACCCCTGGCCTCAGCCAAAATTCATACATTGAAGGCCTAACCCCTAATGTGATGATATTTGGAGATAGAGCCTTTGGAGGGTGATGAGATCATGACGGTGGGGCCTTCATGGTAAGATTAATGCCCTTAAATGAAGAGACACTGGCTGGGTGCCATGGCTCATACCTGTAATCCCACACTTTGGGAGGCTGAGGTGGGCAGATCACCTGAGGTCAGGAGTTCTAGACGAGCCTGGCCAGCATGGTGAAACTCCGTCTCTACTAAAAATACAAAAATTAGCCAGGCATGGTGGCACCTGCCTGTAATCCCAGCTACTCGGGAGGCTGAAGCATGAGAATTGCTTGAACCCGGGAGGCAGAGATTGCAGTGAGCCAAGATCACACCACTGCACTCCCAGCATGGGCGATGGAATGAGACTCCATCTCAAAAAAACAAAAAAAAAGACGAAGAAGAGACACAAGAGGTCTCCGTCTCTCTCTCCACCACATGAGGGCACAGCAAGCAGACCGCTGTCGATCAGCCGGGAAGGGAGCCCTCACCAGGAACCCAGTGGGCCACCACCTTGACCTTGGACTTCTCAGCCTCCAGAACTGTGAGAAAAAAATTCTGCCATTTAAGCCACTCAGTCTGTGGTATTTTGCTCTAGCAGCCCGAGCGAACACAGAGTACATGGGAGCATTTAAAAATTAAATTCTTCAATGTGGAGACATGTCATTTCCCCAGCATATGTTTGCTGTTGTTTTCTGCTGCACTTGAGAAATGCGACTGAATGACTGATGCTATTATAGCAACGACATGAATGCCAACGTAAAACGTCTAAATACATGATCTTCAAAACTCAATAGTTACCAAAAAAAATTTTCTTACCATACATCTACCAACTCTGCATAGTCGCTAGGCAGAGAAAAGCAGTTGAGAACTGGGTCACTGAAACAGGGATCATAAACTCAGATGCTTACAACGGTGGAAGGCAAGTGATGTAAGCCCATGAAACAGGGCAGGGACCTTGTGCTGTACTTTTTCTTTCCCTTTT